GCAGTAGACATGGTGAGGTCTTGGTAGAAATTCTATTTGTTTATTTTAAGGTTATACCTAGTGGTGTTCAGGTCTTACTCTTACTCCTAGCTTTTCACCCATGGTTCACTCGTGATGGAGCTCAGGGACTATGTGGTATTCTGGGGATCCAACCTTGGTTGGCTGCATGCAAGGCAATTGCCCTATCCAGTCTTGTCAAGTTATGGCCAGTCCAACTGTTAGTTTAATGCTTGGGTCAGAGGATGTGGTGTTACTAAGTCCTTGTGGTACCTGCCACTGCCTGGGTCACCTCAACGGTTTTTGGGGTGGGAGGAGGCATGCAGCATTAGGAACTGAACATGGGTGAAGAGCAAGCAAGTCACGTCCCTTAAACTCTGTACTATTTCTGTGACTTCTCACCTACTTTTCCTACTCCTATAAGCCACTAAATTAGATATGCAAAATGGTAAGGAAAATCTGACAAATATTGGTACATGTTTATTCCTTGACATCTGTGGCAGAAAAATTTAGCTATGAACATAACCTCACCTTTGAGTAATATTTTTGAGTCATATCCTATTCTAAGGTTAACATGTGAATATTTTATTTTGTATTGGAAATATTCTTGAATTAATGATTAAAGCTGGAAGATAATCTGAAATTTGTTTTTTATATTAAATGTATATCACTAAAAATTATTTTTATTCCCGAGGTCAGGAAGAGGAGACATATTTTAAGGTGTTTACAACATCAGGTGTAGCCCAGAAACAAAAGTAATGTAGTTTTTATTCCATTTGTTTTCAAATGCATTTTTCTTAGGATTTACAAATGAGCCCATAATAGAGTTTCAAGCATATAATATTTCAATATCAATCCTACCACCAGTGTCTATTTCCCTCTACCCTGTCTCCAGATTTTCTCCCACACCCCAGTCTACAATCTGCCTCATTAACATGCATATTTTTAAGTTTAATTATTGTGACTTGGGTCCCATATTTAAAGTATTGATGGCTTTATTGTTTATATATAAAATCACACTTTTAAACCACCGATGTATCCTTGTCCAAGACCCTTGCCCTATTACTTGCCATCTGCCCCTTCTTAGCCCATTCCCTCCATTTCTCTCTCTACGAACTTTTAATTGTGGACAACCTACTCCACATAGGACCTGTTCAGGTACCGTAGTGGCAAATTATGACTTCTTAGTATAGATACTTAAGTTCTCATGCAGATCAAAACCACAATGAGATACCATCTCACACCTCAGAGACTGGCCCACATCAAAAAGAACAAAAGCAACCGATGCTGGCGTGGATGTGGCGAGAAAGGGACACTCCTTCACTGTTGGTGGGAATGTCCACTGGTTCAGCCCTTCTGGAAAACAGTATGGACGATTCTCAAAAAATTAGAAATTGAGCTCCCATTTGACCCAGCAATACCACTCCTGGGAATATATCCCAGAGAGGCAAAAATGTATAGTCGAAGTGACATCTGCACTTGTTTGTTCATTGCAGCCCTCTTTACAATAGCCAGAAACTGGAAGAAACCTGAATGCCCAAGAACAGATGACTGGTTAAAGAAACTTTGGTACATCTACACAATGGAGTACTATGTAGCTCTTAGAAAAGATGAAGTCATGAAATTTACATACAAGTGGTACAATATGGAAAGTATCATGCTAAGCGAAATGAGTCAGAAAGAGAGGGATAGACATAGAAAGATTGCATTCATCTGGGGGATATAAAGTAACAAAGTATGAGATTAATACCCAAGAATAGCTGAGATCAGCACCAGGAGGATTACTCCATAACTTAGAGGCCAGCCGGGTATCCTAGAGGAAAGGGCTATTCAGATAGAGAAGGGAGCACCAAATAAAGGATGTTTGGAGGATCCTCCCAGGAGGGGAGATGCATGTCGAAAGTAGACTATGGACTGAACATGTTTGCCACTCAATGCCTCTTTTGCAGACCACAACACCCAAAAGGAGAGAGAGAACACAGGGGATTGCCCTGCCACAGAGACGGGGGGATGGGGGGATGGGGGTGGGAGGGATATTATCCATGGTGGTGGAAAATGGGCACTGGTGGAGGGATGGGTATCTGATCATTGTATAATTGAAACCAAAGCACAAAAAATTGTAAATCTACAACTTTAAAAAAAATAAAATATAATAAAGGGGAAAAAAAAAAAAAAAAAAAAGAATCTTTCACCCAAAAAAAAAAAAAAAAAAATATCCCTTGTAGACTTGATTGATGTCTTGAAATATCTACATTCTTGTATCTTTTAGTCTCTCATTAGGAGCAACTAAATTATGGATACCAGAGAAGGTTACCTCTGATGGTGAGATGATGCAAATCATTCTGTGACATTGGTGATTTTTGACTAAGGAATTATTGGCAGAGAAATAAAACTTCCCAAATGCTATTTTAAGTATTAAACAAAAATTGCATTTTCATTTCTGAGTTGAGATTTTCAAAATTATATTGAACATTATTATATGCTTGTTTATTGTATAACAAACACTATAGGTAAAAGCTATATACAAAACTAGAAATTTCTATAAATTAAAAAATATTTAATGCAATTGCATATGCTTGAGTTATATATCAAAATTTACTTCCATAAAATATAATTTTTTACTTTGATTAAGAAAGTTACTCATAAGTAACTTTCTTAATCGCTGGAGCAATAGCACAGTGGGTAGGGCATTTGCCTTGCATGCGACCAACTTGACCCGAGTTCGATTCCTCTGCCCCTTTCAGAGAGCCTGGCAAGTTACTGAGAGTATTTTGCCCATACGGCAAAGCCTGGCAAGCTACCCATGACATATTTGATATGTCAAATACAGTAACAGCAAGTCTCATGATGGAGACGTTACTGGACCCGCTCGAGCAAAATTGATGAACAACAGGAGGGCAATGCTACAGTACTACTCATAAGATCAACAGATTCAATGCAATCCCTAAGTAAACCTCAATGTTATTTTTTTCAGAAATAATAAAAACCATGCTAAAATTCATATGAAATATTAAGTAATATAAATTACTGAAACAATTTTGGAAAAGAAGAGCAAATTTGGGGGTTTCATAATTCCTGATTTCAAACTTTATGGCAAACCTATAATACTTAAAACAGTATGATAGTGTTATAAAGACAGTCATATAGATCAATGGAATGCAACAAGGAACTTACAAATAATCCCTCACACATACGGTAAAGTGATTTTTATCAAAGCTTTAAGACTATTCAATTGGTGATAAATTATAGGTTTTTTTTATAACTGGTATTGAGGAAACTAAATATAACAGGATAGGAATGAGTTGGTTTCATACCTAACACAATATACATAATTTAATTAAAAATCTATCAAAGACTTAATATAAAAGCTACAACTTCATTAGTTTTGATCTAACAATGATTTCTGTTATGACATCAAAAGTACAGAACAACAAAAGAAAAATAGATACATTGGATTACATCTAAATTAAAGATTTTGTGTATCAAATAATAGCATTAATTTAAGGAATGAGTAAACAAGGAATAGGATAAAATGCTTTCAAATAGTATATCTGCTAACAGATTGATATTAGGAATATTTTAAAGAGTACTTACAATTAAACAATAAAACAAATTGATCAAGGAAACTGACTTGAACATTTTCTCAGTAAGATTAGAGTAATATAAAATTCTGTTCAAATCACTGATAATTAGAAAAAGCATAGATCAAAATCACAAGGAGATATTACTTCACACATTTTAGAATAACTATTATAAAACAAAGGAAAACAGACAAAAACCAGGAAAAAATAAGAGTTGGTAAGAATGGAGAGAAGCGAGAATCTTGTGCACTATTGCAGGAAATGCAAAATTTCAGCTACTATGTATGGAAGTCCATGGAATAATTAGAAATAAAAGTTTAATATGATCAAGAAATTCCACTTTTGAGAATATACCTAGTAACACTGAAAGAAGAATTCAAATAAATACTTGCACATCCATGTTTTCTGTATCCCTACTCACAATAGTAAAAAATGAAAGATAATTCAAATGTGTATCAGTGGATGAATGGATAACCAAAATGTGAGCACTCCATACAATGGAATATTATTCAGTATTTAAAGGAAAATTCTGACACAAGCTACAGCATGAATGAGCCCTGAAGACATTTATGCTGTCACAAAGTGCCAGATAATGCATGATTCCAATCATATGAAAATGCCTGTAGTCAAATTTGTTGAGATAAAAAGAGAAGTGGGGTGGTATTTCTGGAATCTGTAAGGAGGGAGGCATAAACTGTGACTGCTTGATGGAGATAGAGTTTCAGTTTTTGAAGATGAAAAAAGTTTAGGAGATAGATGGTAGTAGTTTCAGAGCTTCGTAAATGTACTTAATGCCACTGAACTAAAGATTTGAAAAGAGCGGAAATAGTAAATTTTATGTTTTTTAATATTACCATCAAGTTTTTAAAACATCTTTTGAAAGACACTGTCATAACCTGGTGTTTTACAAAATACATGGCTCTCAAGGTCCACAGTGGCACCAAGGGAGGTTTATCAACAGTAATTGACAGCAACCTATGAAGACCTTGGGCAATGCAAATGAGGTTCTAATTAAAGACCTGCTTAATTTCCTTACAGATGAAATGTCCCTGATAGAACTAAAAGTGGAAATAGAGATCAGATTTTAAAGCTACTTTGTACAACGCAGTTTCTGTAGAACCACCAAAGGTTGATCACATCTATCAATATGGCCATAAAATTATTTGCGGTGTGTTGGGGAGGGGGAATAATATTATAATAGTGATATTAGAAGTCTGTTTAAATCTTTGTTTAGCAATATATTATATATTCTTACTTTATATAGAATATTTTAAAATTAATAGTAAGGAGTGTTGTGTTCTTTATCAAATTAAAATAGATTCACAAAGCTTTCTTATGCCTCTTCAAAGCCAGATATTTTGAAACTAAGTATATGACACTTGTCTGCACTTTAAAGCTTAAAATAGAAAATAGACTCAGTACCTTTATGTGGCTCCTTGGATAGCCATATGTCTGTGGGACCAGCCAGAACCTTTCTTGATAGGATGTTCTTGATAATTTGAGATATACAGACACTTGATTGGACTCAATAACTACATTTTTTTCCTCTTCCACCAGATGTGGTCACTCTAGAAAAAAATTAAAAGGCAGAGAAATAAGGTTGTTATCCACAATTAAGAAAAAATTCAACAGGAGGGATGTAATAATGAGGGAGATCTGTTCATTTTAAACACACTTAAAGAAAGTAGCACTGGTGCACAGATATGGGAATGTTACAAAAGGGGTACAAGGGATAACCATCCAATATCAAAACCAGTTAAATTTTGGTAAATAATTCATTTTAGGAAAATTCTTATGAAAAAACAACTAAGAAAAAAAACTGAGTGTATGGGAATGGGAACGGTCTTTGGAACATGAGTTGATGGAAATGGATTCTAGGTGTGCTGTTAGTATGAGGTATACATGAAACTGTCATTAACAGTATTGAAAATCATGGTACTTCAATACAATATAAGGGAAAGTAACAGAAAGCAATATTTTCCTGAAACTAGGTTTAAGCATTTTTGTGATTAAAAAGTTTTGGAATTTGGTATACTTATAAGTTGTTAGAGGAGCAAACCGAACTACACATGCAACTTTTGTTGTCAAGATGTTGTCATAGGAGTTTCATTTAGTCCTTCATGTAGAAGATACTAAATGCAAGTTGAAATACTTTTAATCTAAAATATTTTAGGAAAATAGACTATGCTAATTTATTATTTAAAAAGAAAATATACTTATTTTGAGGGGAGGGGCTCCCAAGTAATGCTCAGGAGACCCGAAGACCACTTTGGATAATTCTTGGTAACATCAGTCAGTGGGGTCTAAGGATGTAAGGATGTAAGGGTCTAAGGATGCTGCAGTGGAGGTTGGGCACTGTGGTTCCAGGAATACCCAGACTACTGTGGTGCTATTTGGGGATTGTAGGCCTATCCACAGTGATGCTGGGGAAATATATGGTGCTGGTGATTGAACTGGGTCAAGTGTGCAAAAGACACATGACTTAACCCCTATTTATTCCCTTTGCCATCTTCCTAGTCCCCAAATACAACTGGTTAATGATAATGAAAATTTTTGTTATACATATAAGGCAAATTCCAAATAGTGCAAAAAATGGGGTTGTACACAATCTCCTGCGATTAATATTGTGGGTCCTACTATTTTGAGTCTGACCTGAGGTATAACTTTCTCATTTAGATAATCTGACATTTAGCATAGTGCTTTTATAAAAATGAATGTTAATTCTCAACATATGAAAAAAATCAAATTAAAAAACCTAAGCAAATCTTACAATGAACCAACATAAAGCCAAAGCAATTTTGAATACATGAAAAGGATCGGATGTCAATGATCAAAGCCACTCTATATGATATATTGCCAACACTTTGTCTTTAAAAAAATCACACTTTAGTAAAATATTATTAAATTAATTCATACACAGCTTTTGCCTTGTACTCCTATAAATTCATCTCTCTTGCTTTAAACTTTTAAGAATGTTTTACAGATTCATTACAAGACCAGTCACCATTATGGGGAAAACAGATGGCTCATGAGGTAAAGAGAGAAAGGCCTGGAGATCCCCAAAGGGTAGGTCGGGGAATATCACAGCAGTTATAGCAGCAGTTAAGAGTCAGGAAGTAGACAAGTTTTCCATGAACATAATGTGTTTCACAAAATATAATATGGGGAAAATGGCAGGTTCTGTTTGGGTATTATCTATTCCTCCAGCACAGGATGCAAACCTGGGAGTGAAAATGCTCTTCTCAGACCCACTGAGCACTGTTTCCACATAGTAACACCTTCCTCTGTTCTCCTTCCACAGGAGATTGTCCATCAGCTCTTTCCTCCCCTGAATTTAGGGAAGTTAGTATATGCCCACAAATATGAGACGTCTCTCAGAAGCATTTGAAAGCCAGGGCAATGGTTAGACGCTATAGGACTTACTCTCCAAGATGTTTTTATCTGAGATTTATTTCTGAGATTGAGATTGAAGAATATAACCACTGTATAACAGATTAGTTGTCCTGGAGGACATTCAGTGCTTCCTGCAAAATGTTTGTGCACGCATGTGCACGCACACACACACACACGTGCGTGCGCACGTGGATTCTAATATAAGATAATTGATATGTAAAGTAGAAATTACCTCTTAAAGCTGAATTTAGAAATAGGATTAAATTCACTGAGCTGATTATCCCATTACAAATTATCTTTCATGACATAAGAATCCACAGAAATTCACTGAGTGACTTCCTTTAGTGACATCTTCTTGTAAGACTTCACCTTGTCCCATTATTCAGGCACCATCTGAAGATTATGCACCTATGGTCTAGCTGCTTACACTTTCCTGTCACATCTGCTGCCTGTGATAATTTATAATGGAATTCCTAGGATGAGCTCTCAGACGGAGTGTTTAGCAGGTAGCTTAGTTGCAAAACACGACAGCACCAGTCAGGCCTGTGCTCCTTCGGATCTTTAGCCACACACCGTTCTCAACTTCAGTGTTGCAGCATCTTTTTCTCCTCCACCATCACTCAGATAAGAATCTATGGGATTCCTTATCAAGATACAAATTGCATCACCTTTTATTTCTTTCTTTTAAATGTTTCTTTGAGAAAATTGCACATTTATGAGCAACATAAAGAGGGATACATATACCACAAACACTCCTTATCCAGAAACCCCAATAACGGCTCATAAAACTACAGGATAAAAATATCACAATCAAGTTATTGCCCCTGATTCATTCCATTGACTTGTCTGGGGGTTCCCATTTTGTGCTTATTTTTTGTGTATATGTGATATGTAATAGTTCGTGATATTACTTATCCATGTAAATATGTTATAACTGAAGTTTTCTTTATGTTTATAATGTTAAAAGGGTTACATTCAACATTATTTTACTCTAATTGTTTATTATAACATAAAATTAGAGAAATAGTGATCTGTAATAACAAGAAATCTGATCATAGGAATGTAACTTACATGGCTGGTGTAGCTCATTTGGTGGCAAATTTGCTTCTTATTATTTACAATTTACTATGTGTCCCTTATTCTTGTTTTCACCCAAGACTCACTCTGAATGATTGGATAAAGGGATACTCTATTCTGCATTAAATATATTTCAGTGTTGTTGACTGGATATGTAGGCTGCATGTTTAGGGAGGTTACATTGAGCAATAGTGGCTGTGTATAGGCACTTGACACCAGTGGCCACCAGTACAAATAGCTCTAAGAGTCCCATTTGGAGTCACTCCAAACAGTTATGCTGGCAACCAAAAAATATTTTAATTTTACTAGTTTAAAATAGAGATGTTGAAACAGCTGTGTTTAGTGTCTTTGTTAATATGGACCTCCTGCATCAATCTAGAAAGCCCCTGGGAATTTGTCAACTGCTGCAGGAACACAAGTTATCAAGGAGGGTGTCTGTCAGTTACCAAATGTGCTTATTACCCAAGGGAGGAAGGAAGAAGGAGACTGAAGAACGTTCATACATTGTTGCTTCAGAGATAAAGTGTGCAACTACTTTCTCCTACACACATTCCCTCCTGCAGATCTATGATATCTGGTCCTGGGAAACTCTTTTTTCCAAATTCCAGACATGTCTGGCAGACTGTAATGACCAGCTAACATGATAAATAATGAAGCACACATCTTTAAAATGTTAATATCTGTTATCACCAAAGTTAAATATACATATAGTATGAGGGTCAAGCTCTGGTTTCTTATATAAAAACAGTGAGCCCCAAATTTAACCTATTTATTACCATATATCCAGAGGAAAAGATTTTCAATTATTTCTTTACAAATTCACTCCATACTGCTAAAAAGTGAGTATCTCACTTTTTTTCTATCACTAAGAATTCATCTACTAACTTCTCATTTGGAGAATATGATGTTTTTTATTCATGTACTTTGCTTGCCCCATCTCATGTACTTCCTTAAATCTAACTATATATAATTGTATTATATTATTGATGAATATTTGATTTTCGTAACTATTAAAACACTGTATGAAGGTGATTCATGTGCATTATGTACCTAATTCATGTAACTGCTTCCTCCCTGAAATTAATTTGGGATTGTGCACTTGCATGTCTACATAGAAGCTTATTGTGAACTCATCCCAACCTTCTTCCAATTAAATATAAGCTCCTTTTATTTAAAGAAAGCATTTTAGGGGCAAATTTGATATTTTGGGTAAAGTCCCATGGAGTCAAAATGGGTTGTCTGGTCTGGTGCATGTTGGGGACTCCTGAGTACTTCTGATCGTTCTCCACAATCCAGGGCACTGTCCTAGCCTGCTAGCCAGTCTCTTGCATTGTGCACTTGTGACTTCCTCTTTCTCATATGGGGTTGCCATTCCTTTGGTTATTTTTGTATTATTTCTATTTGTTTGAGTAGCCTGTAGCACTGTCCTTCTGTTGTTCATCGATTTGCTCGAGCAAGCACCAGTAACGTCTCCACTGTGAGACTTGTTGTTGCTGTTTTTGGCATATTGAATACGCCACAGGGAGCTTGTCAGGCTCTGCTGTGTGGGCGGGAAACTCTTGGTAGCTTGCCGGGCTCTCTGAGAGGGGTGGAGGAATTGAACCTGGGTCGGCTGCATGCAAGGCAAATGCCCTATCCACTATGCTATTGCTCCAGCCCACTTGTTTGAGTAAAAATGTAGATCAGACAAACTTGGAAAGCTTCTTCATCGTGTACCTCTTGAGGCTTCATTCTATGAATGAGATTAATGTCTATATCTTTTTTTTTCATATGTTGTCTCTATTTCCTCCAACTAGCTTTTGTCTATTCTCTTTTATTTTGGTCTTTCCCAGTAGATTTGTCAAATACTTGGAGTGCCTTGACTATTTGCTCTAAATTATAAAGTCCCATTCACATAGGCAGAGCATCCTGATTGTTCTGTAAGAAATTCTTCCTGGGGAATGCATGTCAAGTTCTACAGTTAAGAATTGGGGTTTATAGCTAAATGGCAGCATGTAGAGTCCTGTCTTGATAAGCTCTTGGCAAATTTATGAACTTTTCTCAGTCTTGATGTCAACATCTGAAAAGTGGCAGTCACTAAGGAATTTATAAACTTTGT